TATTACAGTCCGAAATGGCATATAAAAATATTTTAAAGCGAAATGAGTTGGTCTGTTATATTTTAAATTATATTACATCTTTTACTTTTAAAAGAGCGATCGATAATTAATGTTAAATGAACTGAACCTGACCATTAAGGGAATGAGATCATTTTTGAACAAGAGGAAAAAAATGATTGCTGTAGGCAAAGGAACTAGGTGTACGAGAGGAAATATGAACGTCTGGAGCTAGGTGAACTAGATGGACGAACGAGTCGTATCTGGTTCCGATCGTTCCTGTTACGGAATAGCTCCTTCGAACTACTTCGTTCCGGAACAACAATTAGCTATTTGTCTCTTGACTATTTTTTTTTTTTTAAATTCAATTTTGATCCTGTTTCGGAATAGTTCCTGTAAAACTAAACAACATTAAAAAATTATATTAAATAAAATTTTTCTGCTGATTAATTATGAAATTTCTCGCGATTCAATTAATGCTACATGAACTAATGGGACGAGAAGATCTAGATGAACAAGAGGAAAACATGAGCGATTGTAGCAAAATTAACCAGATGAACCAGAGGAAAATTCAATAAATGGAGGAAGAGGAACTATTTATCGACAGTGTCGGATCTAGTTCCGATCGTTCTTGTTTCAAAATAGTTAATTTGCAAACATTATTTATTATTCTTATGATTATAGATTGTTTCGATTAGATTAGAGGTTTGTAATTAAAAAGCAAAGCCAGAAAGATCCTACACATCCACCATTATTTGAGGCGAATCGCCATCGGTTAAGCACCTCATAAGGCATATTGAATAGTGATTTTACAAAGGATGTAATATTGGTAATTTGAATTTATATAGAAGAAATTGCATTTGCACAGTAAATTCAAGTATATCAAGGTTCGGCAGAGCTTATGATTCTGAATGTCATGAAAAACTTCGTTTAAATCAGACAAAAAATATTAATCTTTGGTACATAAATCGGAAGAAAATTTATATGAGAGCTACATCAAAATCAGAACCGATTTAAATGCAAATTGACACACGTCTTTGTAGACCAACCGTGTGGTCTTAGATGAACCATTTATTTGACATCTGACGAAAATATATATCAGAATTCTATTCAAATCAAACCCGATTTAAACAAATCAACGTCATTCCGAACTCGATTTTCTAAGCTATACCAAATTTCGGGTCAGTAATCACAAAATTATTCATTACTCTAGAGGCAGATTATCATTCGCAAAAAGTCTTTTACAAATGTCTCTCAAGGGAATGCAAAGAAGTGTATGGAAAATATTAGTAATGCTACTCCCTCAAAACCATACCGAGGCTACTTTTGGCTCCCAGAGAAATTGTATAATGCAGTCGATATTCTTTAAAGAGGTAATCCGCTGACTACTGCGCTTTAGTCTGCCTTTAGAAATCAATTTCCCCAAAAACGACAAATTGGAACAATGTAATATTTTAAAAGGCAGACGATATGAGTCCGCCATCCCTAAATCTACAGGTATTTTGCTCCAATATTTACTTATTTCCCACACAAGAAACTAAAGTGCCCCTTTGCCCCGCCAAACAAATGTGACCACATTTGTTCTTTTAAATGTCTTTTGTCGAAGACAAATGACTGTCAGGCTTATTAGCCACAAATTTGGTGACAATCATCAAATTATTTTCGTGTTTGTTGTTGGCCTTTGGAGAATTGAAATTGGACTAGAAGAAGAAAAGTAGAACCCCGAAACATTTGTGTGATAAATTTACACATGATAAATTTATGCGTGTATATTTATTTAGATTTCCATAAAACTTCCAAAGTTCGAGAAGACAAAATCCCGAACAACAAAAATAAAGAAATTCACTTAGTTTATGGTTTGAAAACAATTTGAAGGAAGGGTTCGCAACGCAGCTATGGTGCGGCAGATGAAAAGAGGAAAATCAAATAACAGCAACAACAACACCAAAAAAATAAAAGTGAAATGACAGCTAAATAATAAATAACTCCCCAGAGATGGGAATACTTTATGAGGTGGCATTGGATTTCAGAAGTAGAAGAGAGGAAAAAAATTGGCAAGCCAAGCTGGGTGAATGATTGTTGTTGTCTCTGAAGGGAGGCAATCAAGCAGAAGGTATGATTGTGGTGGTGTCCGTCTCGTTGTTTTTGTTATTGTTGTTGATAATAATGCTAGGTGTATGAAACGTGTGGATTTAAGACATATTTTGCCGAGTTTGTGTTGTTTTCATCCCCCATGAGGGGTAATAGAATTATAGAAAATTGGTGTCTACGTTTGTGTGTGTAGGTTGGGCCAGATGTGTGTTTCTGGTGTGGGCAGACGACATGAGCTAATTTTTATTCTTGCATATGATAGGAAAAAAATCTGTACATGTGTTGCTATTTTATTCTATTTAATTTTTTTGGGTTCGTATTTCTGCGGGAAATATCTGGGGAATTGATTAAGAAAGCGAGGAATTTTTGTGGAAAACCTCCGAAAAGAAATCGTATAAAAATTTAAAAATAGATAATAGTAACCACTTTGGGCATACGGAAGAGGTGCTCCAGAGCCTTTTACCACTTTGGGTATATGAAATAGGTGCTCCAGAGCTGCAGATTTAAAACACATTTGACTAATGTCATTCTACACCTAATTCGAAAGGTTTGAGAACATTTCGTGGCAATCGGACAATTTTGGGAGTAGTTTCATGGAATCGGAAGAAATTACATAGGGTAGAAGCAATATCGAAATCTGAACCGATTAGAATCGAACTAGACACAAGGAATTCTTAATTTAGGAGTTTTTTTTTTTTAATTCGTGCCAATAGGACCAACTTGAGCTCATTGGAGAACCATTTACCTAAACTAGGACGAACGAACTTATATATGGGAGATTTATCTAAGCCCTAACCGATTTTGACAAAACTCAACACATATGCTTTTAGATTTATTTCGTAAAACTTTTGAAAATTTCATGCATGGGACTTTGGGGGCCCATTTACATGATCTTTATCGAAATTTGAACGATTTAAAGCAAATTTGAAACACGGGATTCTCATACCATTTCAGTAAGCTGGGAAAAATTTCCTGACCATCCGATCAACGGTCGTTGGTGTGCATTTACCTGAAATCCGACAAAATTATATAGGGGAACGATATTTAATACTGAATCGATTTCGACAAAACTCAACATACATTATTCTGGTCTCCAACTGATAACCTGTGCAGAATTTCGTCTCAATCAGACAAACCGAGGGTTCATTAGTGCACAAATCCGACGTTATATCCGATGTTACAAGGGGGACCTATATCTAAATCTGAAGCTATTTAAAACAAACTTGGCACACCTCATTCTATACTCGATTCAGTAAACTATGTCCAATTTCGGGCTAATCGTATAAATCGGGGAGGTTTAAGGGCACAATTTTCATGACATCGGACTAAGTTTTACATCGGAACTATATCCAAAACTGAACCGATTTCAATGAAATCTAACACACGTCATTCTAGTATCAAAACTTTAGTCTATTCAAAATTTCGTGGCAATCGGCCCAACTTTGGATCTTTTGTCCACCATTTGCCGGAAATCCGACGAAGTTATAAAGGGGAGATATATCTAAATGTGAACCGATTTTAACAAAACTCAAGACATATAATTTTAAGCTCAATTCGCTAGCATATGCAAAATTTCGTGAGGATCGGGCAAACATTGGGCTCTTGGTGCACCGTTTACTTTAAATCGGACGAAGTTATACAAGGAATCTATATCCGAATCTGAACCGATTTAAAGCTTACTTCACACACGTCATTCTAGACGCAATTCAGTACTCTGTGCAAAATTTCGTGGCAATCGGCCAAACCTTGGGTCTTTGGTCTACTATTTAACGGAAATCCGACCAAGGGGAGCTATATCTTAATCTGAACCGATTACGCTATAGAAAATTTCGTGTCACTCGAACGAACATCGGACCATTTGTGAACGGTTTACATTAAATCCGACGAAGTTATACTGAGGACCTATATTCAAATTTCAACCGATTTTAACAAAACTGAGCACACATAATTCTCATGTGCAATCAGTAACCTGTGTAAAATTTCGAGTCAATCTGACAAATGTGGGGAGTTTAGTACACCACTTTCACGATATCGGACTCAACACACATCATTCTAGGCTGAATTCAGTACGCTGTGAAAAATTTCGTCTAAATCGGACATATATGGGGATTTTGGTGCACCATTTATCGGAAATCCGACGAAGTTATACAAGGAAGCTATATCTAAATCAAAACAGATTTCATCGAAACTCAACACACGTTATTTAGGACGCAATTCGATGGATTCTACAAAATTGCGTTCCAATCGGACAAGCTTGGGGTCTGGGGTTATATAGGAGAGCTATACCAAAATCTGGTCCGATTTCAAGCAAACTTGACAAACCTCATTCTAGCTTCTATTCAGTACGTTATTCCGTATTTCGTGATAATCGGTTAACAATAGGGACATTTTTGCACTATTTACATAAAATCCGACGAAGTTATACAGGGAAATTATACCCAAATCTGAACTGATTTCTGACAAACTTGACACACCTCATTCTAGCCTCCATTTAGTGAGCTATACACAATTTGGTGACAATCGAACAAATTTTACTTCGTTGGTGCACAATTTTCAAGAAATCGCTCGATATATATAGAAGCTATGTCCAAATATAGAAGCTATGTCCAAATCCAAACCGATTTTTGACAAATTCAATAGGATTCGTCCTTAGGCCTATTAAATGGGCCGTGCCAATATTCATCGCAATTGGATAATAAATGACACCTGCCCTTTGTTTGCAAAAATTTATCCGCAAACAAACGGGTTCGTCGGAAATGCATAAATCATCACAAGAACTGGTTCCAGATATATCCTCCAAATTAACTATGGTGTTCCATCCTTAATCCTTCGGAACACCACAGTCTGATGTAGTCAATAAAAAAAATCCTCCAGACGTGAGGTATATTCCGCCTTTCTCTCAACTTACTTACCGGTGTCGAATATGGATGTGCCGTCAGACGTACTCCATCCGTTTCCAGCTGTTCTCTGATGACAATATCCAAATCATTCGGTGGTGGTGTTACACATAATATCTCTGCACTGCCCGATAACGAGTTCGGGTCATTTAACATAAAATACACTGATGCGGCACCTTTTTCACGTAATTGTCGTATACTTTTTAGTAGCTTGTGACGATGTGCCGGATTTTCAACACCAATGGCGTCTAAATCGGGATCGCCAACTTGTTTACATATTTCTAGATCATCATAACCGTTATCGAGAAAACTTTCGGCATATTGGCCCAGACCGAGGGCTCTTAACCATTCACACACGATATTACTGACGGCCATTGTGAAGGCGGCGGACGGCGACGACAACGACTACGACGACGACGACAATAATGACGACGACGGTGACGATAAGACACGGCACAACACGGAAATTGAACAGTTCACGTCGCGAGTTGAATTTAGACTGGTCGGTCGGGTCGGTCCAACAACAACAGTGGATGATGTTTGTTGCTGTTTACAACATACCCTCAAACATGAGGGGAGAGGTTTGGGTTGGGTTGATTGGTGTGTCGGCGGTTTGGTATGGGTTGTGTGTGTATCTCCACCAAAGGAAATGTTTATTTTCTTTCTCTTTCCCTCTCCCTCAGTTACTCACTTGGTGTTTTGTTATTTTTCTTATTGCTGTTGTAAATTGTATTGTTTTGTTGTCCATAAGTTACATTTAACAAGGTAATGTTGCGCTCGCTCCGAGCTTGTTTGTTTACTCATTGAGCATGCACACACACAACATAAACATGTTGGCTATTAGCTAGTATTCGTTGTTTTGGGATTTGTTTTTATTTTTATTTTGGATTTTGTTGTGTAGTTGTTGTTGGATGTGTGTCCTTGTTGCATGTAAATGTTGTCTTTTTGTAGTTGTACAACTTAGTGTTGTTGTAACAACGTTTTTTTCACTCTCATAGATTTTTATGGTGACCAACAACAGAAGTAGAAGTGGCAGTCGTAAAAGCAGTCCATAGTAGCTGGCCTCTTCTTAAGGTTCTCCTTTTCGTTGTTTTGGTATTTTTTGTGTGTGTTCAAGTGTTGCACCACAACACACCACCTTCGCTGCTTTCTCACTTGCCGGATGGATTCTCCTTTCACTCAATATCCTTTTGCATTCGTCTAACACACCATCGCCATCATCATCACGTGCCACATTCACAAAACATTTGCTTTTGATGTTATTTTAAATGGTTGCAATTTTTTTTCCTTTTTTTCTATAATTCGCATTTCACTTTTTTACATTAGCGCTGTTGTTGCTGCTGCTGTTTTGTACACTGAATTGTTTTTATTTATTTATTTTCTTTTTTTTTTTTGTAATTTTATTTTTACCACTTTTACCATTAATTCACAGCAGCAGTTTTGATGATGATGTTGTTATTCTTCTGTTTTTTTTAGTTTTTGTAAAATTTGTAGTTTATATTAAGTTTGTCGAACTCATTGTGTGTGTTAATACCATACTTAAGGGTATTTATATTTATATTCGGTTGGTTATTTAAGGACTATTCCAGGTGAGTTGGTATTGCGATGAACTGTAAAGAGAAATGTAATAAAAAACTGCATTAGAAAAGAGTTTAGAAAATTGAATAGCAAGGCAAATAAATGAAGGAAACCTCAGAGAAAACCGAAAAAAATACGATGTGGATCTAAAGAACATTTTCAAAATCAGTATTATAATATTAAAAAGAAATTAGTTTCGACCTGACCCAACATGTTATATCATTCACTATGAGGAACCCAAAATAAGCAATTAATAAATTCAGTATGATAGACCAAATTGACAATCTGACAAACATCGGATAATGGGTGAACGATTTCTATGAAATCCGACGAAGTTATATAGGGGAACTATATCCAAATCTGAACAGTTTTAAATCAAACTTGATACATTAAATTTTAGCCTCTATTTAGTGCGCATTGCAAAATTTTGTGGCAATCGGTTGAACATTGGGTCATTAATGCACCATTTACATGAAAGCCGACGAAGTTATACAGGAGAGTTATAACAAAATCTGAACCGATTTAAATCAAATTGGGCACACCTCATTCTCGACTTACTTAAAGACGCATTGCGAGATTTCGTGTCAATCGAACTAATGTGGGAGTTTTGTCGCGCCAATTACCTGAAATCGGACGAAATTATATGGCATATGTCTTTCTAGTCAGTCAGTGTGACATATACAATTTCGTCCCAGTAGGACAAACCTAAGGTCTTTGGCGCACCATCTACCGGAAATCCAATGAATTTATGCAGAGGAGCTATATCAAAATCTGAAACGATTTTAACAAAACTAAAGACACGTCATTTTATACTCAATGCAGGACGCTGTACAGAATTTCGTGCGTATCGGTTAAAGTCTTCAGAGTCAATATTATAATATTTTGTATCATCCACTATGAGGAACCTGACTAAATGATACCCTTCTCCAAATTGTGAATGTGCATGATGTGGCTTATTTTATAAACCATAAAAAAATAAGCATTGCAAAACTATATATAGACAATATACATCAATATCTGAACAGACTGCATTCAAACATGGCACAATTTCTGGTACATTCAGAACTTTATTTTTTATAATAAGGGTGATTTTCCGAATGTAAGGTGTACTGTACAAATTGTTGCCAATTTTTATAGATTTTACAGACTATTTTTTAAAATTTTTTATCTGTAAATGATTATTGGTGCTTACTTTACTTAATTTAACTAAATGAAAGAGCTTTTTAAAAAATATTTTCAAAAAAATGCAGTAAAGCAAAAAATTACACAATGTTTTAAAAAACTTAATTTTTTGTGTTATTTTAGAGATCGTTATTTATAGAAAACGGTATGCGATAATTTTCTATTTTCACACTTAATCTCTTAAGTGCAGTAGTATATCTAAATATATCTTAGTGTTCTGTATTAAACATTTTTTAAAAATACTTCCAACGAATCGAAGGTTTATCAAAAAAATTTTACCACAGAAAATGTTTTAATTACGTGACCACCACTGTATATCGGACAAATATACATATATATTCAAATCTTAACCTATTCCAATCAATTTCCATAGATTTGTTCCTTGAACGAAATAAGTGAGCATTGCGAAGTTGGATAAAAAATGCCACTTGCACATCTTCTACATACATAAATACATTGATAGACTCGTGCAATTCGAGGGCAAATTAAGTGTAAGTATATCCTCAAAACTATGGGCCTGTACCGCATTACGGCAAATGTCAATGGTTAGGAAATGCCGATTAGAATCAAATATCCTTCGAAGACGTTCATTACGTTTGTAAAATGCGGCTAGGACCTTTATTGTGCAAAACAGATAATGAGGTCGTTCGAGTGTCTTAATAGGGCCTATGTCTAAACATTGACCTACGACAAAATATTGCCAGAACCAGTTTTCCGTCAGGATGCATTTTATTCTTATAACAAGTAAAAAGGTGTATTTCGGTGTCGCCAACATATATATACCCTCAGCAGACGTTTGCAGAGGTCTTCGGAATTATCCGCTTCATATAAAAAATATATTTTTGTCAAAGATGTTTCGGATTATTCAATTATCTAATTCAATTTGCTTCAAATTCAATTTATATGTGTAATAGTTATTGATCTTCTTTGGGGGGAGGTACCATCTTCGGACTTAATCTTGGCCCGGTAAAGATAATAGGTTGTGCAAAATTTGGTTTCATTTGGACATACCATTATTGTATTTATAAATATTAAATATGTTATCCATTTATGGGGGAGGTACCAGAAGTAGTTGACCATAGGTCATATCTTCTGATATTCTGCTTGATAAAGGTAAAAGTTTGGTTTAAATCGAACATTCCATTCATATGATTTTGGATTTATGATTGTGCAAATTTTGGTTCAAAATAGCATAGTCCGTTCGCCTAATATTGAATTAATAAATATTGAACATTTTTAGCATTTGTGGGGGAAGTACCCGACGGAGTGGACCAATGGGTCACCTGGTTAAAATATTACGATATGCAATATTTGGAATAAATCCCTTCGAAACCGTTTCAAATTGTCTGAAACGGTTTTGGTCCAAAGAAACATGGTGTCGAAAACCAATATTTCAATGAGGCACATCTTTGCCGTATCAAAGTGTATACTAGAACCCAAATCTCCAAATTACATTCACTTTGATGTGAAAATACGTATTTGACCTTCCAAATGTTTTCTACTATGTTGAGATCTTTATATGGAGATTATGTCTAAACGTGGATCCACATTAAACATTTTATGGTAGTGATTTTCCTGTGAACAGGAAGGGAAAAGAGGACAAGATGATTATCTAATGGTCTAAATGTCACTTTGGATGTCTACAAGTAATTAATTCAATTTCGGAAATATCTGGTAGTCGTCCTTAGTACATAAACATAAAAGGATTTTCAATATGTTGAAGCCCTTCGACTGGTCTATACAAATTTCTAACAGCCCGATTATTAAAATGACGGACAATGAAGCTGTATAAAAGATAAGAAGTATATTAAAAGCCCGAGAAAAATTTTTAAGGACATTAAAATGTACAAGACCATTTTTGGGTTTAAAACAGAGTCAAGGAGTCTACACTTGTTTGAGCTTTTAAATCTCAGTCTAAATAATATCTATTAGTAATGTAATATAAAGGACTTTTGTAGATAAAATAATTGATCCTATTCGGGTATATAAGCTTTTTAGAGGTCTGGTCAACGATTTGGCAGACCTTTAAATTGTAAAGAACAAACGAAAGAACATGTAAGCTTAAAAAATCTCATAAAATATAAAAAGTGGTAAAAAATCCTTAAGATGCTCCAGAATATATATAAAAAAATAATCTATAATTCTGAAAGACTTTCAAAAATATCTTTGTTGACAAAACGCGAGATTCTACTATGGAAATGCTGCCAATGGAATAACTTTTTCTACTTCGTATATTAACTGTATAGATATAAAACAATCTGACAATTTTATAAAAAATACCACTAAATAATCTTAAAAAAAAATCGGGAAACGGCATTACACTTCGTGGTCATTCACGAGAGCTGACACCTGATATTTGATAGCAAGAGCCCTTATTTTCCTATGAGAAAACTTCGTGTTCTCCTATACAGAACATCACTATATATTCTAAAAAAACGGCTATTCTAAGATGAACACATCTACATCTTCTTCCACTTGGATTCCTATGACGTAAATTCCAAGTCATTCTGGTATTCTACAAGTTAATCCGTAATTTTAAAAGAAAACTATCTGGTCTTTCACAAAGTGTCCTTATGATCTTCTATAAGAAGACCTTCGGGTATTTTCTAAAAGAA